TTTGATATGTTCTTCATGTGACGTTCGATTTCTTTTTGTTTTTTTGTTTCCTGGCGAATTTCATCTACAGGTGAACAGAAGAAAGTCTTAAAATTTGCAGGAGCACTAGGTTGAATGCAGGCAAGGTGTGACAGACTGCTATTAGACCAGACAACACTGCATGCAGAGCCACCCGTGTCTCATATACCCAGCCAAAACCTTTTTCGTCAAGCCCCAAAATCAAGTAAGGTTTTGAAGGAGACTACTGTGGAAAAGAGTTGGGTTTGGCCAAGGAAAGTGCTATCATTGCTGGGGACACTTACCTACCAACTACTTGCAAACTTTATTTAAGAAATGCAACACGTGACATGGTCACTTAGGGTTCGACTGTGTCAGTTAAGATAGGATCAGTTGTTATAGGAAATAACGACATGCAACACAGCAGAAGGTGCCTGGCTCTTAGCCCCCGAGAACCATACTGCGATCATTTGTATTATTGCTCGCACACATACAGGAGCACTGAAGGCATTCTTTGGTGAAGGTCTAGCATTACCCGTCTGTAAGCCTTTGCTCCCTTTTTTAGCCATTTCATGGATGAACATTTTAAGAAAGAATTGGGGAATGACTTACTTTCAGTGCGTACTTTCTTCTGCTGCATTATTGTGATCTGTTTCTTTAACATATCCAAGGAGGCTATTTGTTCCTCCCGTTCGTGTGTTAACTTCACCAGCTCTTTCTGTACATTGAGCCAGTACTTCTGTAGTGTTATCACCTCAGAATTATATTCTTCGATCTGCTTGGTCAGTTTGTTGATCTCAATTTCCAATGGTGCCAATTCTTGCCCCTATATGAGGGCAAGGTTTGAGATTAATCAGGCGGAAGCTGCTGGAGCATTTGTTTATAGCACTATTGCAGAAGGCCGGTCCAACTGCTGAGATGCCTACTAAATACTTCAACTATACTGTTATTTGGCCAGTTAGTTACTTTTGGCCTGCATTTCCCATGAGTTGGATGGGACTAATAATTCCTGACCTCACAGGAAT